ATACAATAGGAAAAGTCTAGGAACAAGATTTCCAAGTCAGATAGATTTTACTGATATTAGGAGGTAGGCTCTTCTATTAGAAATTTCTTATTTGATAACATTTTGATCACTGTTTTATTCTTTTAATGTTTGGAAAGTATTCAAATATTTTTTTTTTTTTGTACTCCTAGCAATATGAGCATTAGTCCTATTGAAATTGTCCTAAGATTAACAATAAGGTATATTTCTTAGTGTCATGAAAAGAAATCTGTCAAGATTACTAATGGCATTTGCAATTGCAGGTACGGTGGTAAGCGGTGTGGGAGTGGTGGCGGTGGGGGCTCAGCGGCAGCAGCAGCAGCGGCAGCAGCAGCAGCAGGAGGAGCAGCAGTAGGTGTCAGGCGGTCGCCCCGCTACGCCACCCAACAGTCTTCCGCGTCTGCAGCGTCTGTGGGCAGACCAAGGAGACATCACACTCGGCCTCTTCACACGCACCACCACAACACTAAGCATAAGGTGGGATATTTGTTCGTATTTGTATGCATTGGTTGTTTAAGTGTTGAGGATAGAATCTGAATAAGATATTTAGATTTTGTGTAGTGTTAGTAGGAAAGAACTAATGAAATATATATATATGTTTGTATGTATGTATGTATGTATGTATGTATGCATGCATGTATAATCATTATAGTTTACTAAATCTAAGTGATTTGAATGATCTATTCTCACACAACATAAGGGTTTATCCCATACAGTTAAGAGAGTAGCATTCACAGTAAGGAAGTACTAAATCCAAGGTCAGAAGTAAAAAAAAAGAGAGAGAAAGAGTCACAGTTGTTTTTAATTGTCTAATTAGAAACAATGTATGTTGTCAGACATTTAAAGTCTTCACAAAAAGATGCTTTGTGGGATTTTCGAAAGTAAACTACGAGCAGACTGTTTAATTGTTCTGGGCTTTTCTGCCTGTAAATTAGAAAATGAGGAACACAGATTAGACTTGTATAAATTTAAGTAATTTAATCATTTTTATTTGAAATATTTTGTTTTTTTTTTAATAGGGAATATGGAAATAATGTTTATTTGTAATTCTTTGCTTTTTGGTTTTCGTCATTTTTATGCGTATTTATATGTACGCCGTGAAGTAGCTTCATCAGGATGTGCAAGTTATGGCATTTTGAGAAATGTGTGATTATATTTGTCTGCATCTTTGGAAGGTTGATAGGGCTTGTGGAGACCATATAATTGAGTATTTAATGTTAATCATGTCATCATTATTATTACAAGTGTCATTGTCATTATTGTTATTACATAACTTGTCAAGAGGAAGCGTTTAGGGTCTAGAGATATGTTACCCCCAATGCTTTTATCAGTTGTTTTACAATCTCTTAAGTTTTGCATTTAAAGAATATATAATTTCATTTGTGATGATGCTACCTGCTATTTTCCACACACCTCATTGAGAATACCAAACCTGAGAGCTAGGAAAACAAGACAGTAGTAGATATTGAAATATAATCCATTTGTTCACTTACAGAGGGAACTTAAAGGGGATGTGCTCTTAGAGTACATTTCCGAGTGGCTTTATTTGGCTAGTCTTTAAAGGCATGACAAAGATAAACATAACTAATCTGAGCTTTTCAAGCCATGCATCCAGATTGTAATGACAGATTATTTTGATTTTTTAGCAACAATTTTAATGTTGATCTCTGCTCAAACAGTATGTTTAATCCAAGTACATCATTTCGATAATGTGTTTCATAATGGCTATTTTTTGATCATCTACTTTGAAAGTCCCTTGTCAGTTTTGACTTTTCAGTTGAAACAAGGTCTCCATTTAATAGTAAACAAATAGACATTTCTTTGTATTTTCTGACTTCATTTTATGCTTTTCACATTAATCAGTATTATGATTTTGCTGGACATGCAGCTAAATTGTTGTTGTTTTTTTTCTTTTTTCTTCTTTCCTTTGTCATGTTAGCTATCTGAGAATTGTGTATTAGAAGGAATGCTGGTGAACATTGGTATCCCAGTTCATTAAATGTAATTTCCTCTAAGAGCCTTAGTTTTGCAAATGTATATTGTTCTCTTGTAAGACTAATTTAGATCTTAGGAAATCATTTTTTCTGTTTAGCTTTAAGAGGAAAGGTTTTCTAGTTGCAATTATTTTAGATGTGTTTGATGAAGAGCACTCACATATAAATCTCTTTTTTTGGGGGGGGAGGGCAGGGGTTGTTTGACAAATTAGTCTGAAATGTTTTGCCTAGATAAAGTATAACTTAGATGGATATGTTTATTTTAATATCGGTTGAAGAACTTTGAGGTGATAATCTTTTTGTTTTGTCTATTTCATCTTTAACAAATATTTCATCATCCTGTTTTTCCATATATATATATATATATATATATATATATATATATATATATATATATATATATATATATATATATATATATATATATATATATATATATATATCTGCATCATTATTGCCGTCATTGTCATAGTCATCTTTGCCATTGTCATCCCTCCTCCCTCCTCCATTTTTCTTCCTCCTACCTCTTTTTCCTCCTCCTTCCTCTCTCTTTCCACCTCCCTTTCCCCTCCTCCCTCTTCCCTCCACTCTCCTCCCTCCTCCCTCTTCCCTCCTCCTTCCTCCCTCTTCCCTCCTCCCTCCTTCCTCTTCCCTCCTCCATTCCTCCCTCTTCCCTCCTCCTTCCTCCCTCTTCCCTCCTCCTTCCTCCCTCTTCCCTCCTCCTTCCTCCCTCTTCCCTCCTCCTTCCTCCCTCTTCCTTCCTCTTCCCTCCTTCTTCCTCCCTCCTCCCTCCTCTGCCATCCTCCCACCTCCCTCCTAACTAAAACCTCCCCCTAATTCTCCTCTTCCTTTTCCTTTTCCTTTTCCTACTCAAGCTCATTTGCCCTTTAATTTTCTTACTTTATATTTGTCTTACTATGATCCCTTTTACTTGAATATCCTGTCTTTGTCCTTTGTGCATTTAAGCTGAGAACTAATTTGAAAGTCTTTGAAAAAGGATGATGATAAGGAAGCACATTCTCTAATTTACTCTGAAGTGATTTATACATCTGAACACTAATCTCCTTTTCAGTAATGAATCCTATCGAAATTATTCATCTCTTCACCACCTCTTTGATTGCTTTGTTGTGAATCGCCTTATTGTTTGATCATTTCCTCGCTTTTTTTTTATTCAAGGGCTTTCCGTCAGCGGTAGCATGAAGGGGAAATGGATTTAATTTTCCCTTTTGTTTATTCTCATGTGTGATGAAAATATCAACTGCTGTTCACTTTGTGTAAAGAGTAATATCTGTCTTAATGACTTTTTGATCTTTTAATACCCCAGATTTTGGGATATATGTATGGACTCCATTGCGTTGATACAGTTGTTTTATTGAACAAAATACAACAGAATAAAAAGTTCACCTTATCATAATGTCCTTTAATGTTTATATTTTACTTAATTACACATTCTTGCTGTTAATTCTAGTGGCATTGTTTTGTTTGTTCTACATGCTATTAAAACTGCATTCCAACTTGTGTCATAGGATTTAGACACACTTTATATTGTCACCTTGAATAGTTTTCTCCATGCATCTTTTATGAGCTTGTATTAAAGCTATCTGTCTTGTGTTTGGGAACGTTCAGCTTTTGCCTCTTGGTTGAAACTGGCATTATTTGATTATAAAGTATTTTTTGTGTTGGCAGTTTAGACGCATCTTTGTTGTGTTATTAGTTGGGGGACAAGTGGTTTGAGAGCATTTTGTATTTTTGAAATTTTGGTTTTAAAATTGATGTTATATATGAAGCTCCTGTCATATGTAAGTTCTTTGTAGAATATATATGAGGCTATAGTTTATAATTTTATTTTTTGAAGTATTTTAAGCCATAGATCAGTTAAATATAATTTTACAGTAATTCTCTCTTGACAAAGTGGTTAGCAAGAAGTTTTAATGCCTTTACACTATTTTATACTTTTAATAATATGGATGTTTTAAGTTGCTAGAAAATAAATGTGTGTGTGTGTGTGTGTGTGTGTGTGTGTGTGTGTGTGTGTGTGTGTGTGTGTGTGTGTGTGTGTGTGTGTGTGTGTGTTTGTTTGTTTGTTTGTTTGTTTGTTTGTTTGTTACCTGCAATATGTTAATTCTTATCTATAATACAATAGCAGAGGTAAAATTTATGAATAGGTTTGATGTTGATATGGAGGTGATTACAAAATACAATCAGTAAACATCTTGTGTGCATTCAGATAGGAAAGATAATCGTAACTGGGTACTTTGTTTTAAAAAAACGTAAAGGGACTGCTGAAACTGATTTTTCTTTCTCAGTATTTAGTTTTGTGGTTATTCTTTTCTGAAAAAAGTGTCATGGTTTCTTTTCTTTCAAATGTATTTCCTATTTGTATCTACTATTAAATGGTGTTGACCTTTAACTGGCATTAAAGTGTTGCGGTTTGAATTTGAATGAGAATTTATGCATCGTTACAACAGTTATTCATTGGCTTTGTCTAGTTATGTTTATAATTCAAGTATTCATATGATTAATAGTTTTCATAAGGGTATGCTTGATTTTTATAATTAAATGAAAATTGGCACTACAATGTAATGCAAGCAATGCTTGCAAGTGCAAGTACTCCCCCTAGCTCTTGATTAAAAAAGTGGTGTCTTTTCTTTCAGGGAGGAAAGACTAGCACTGGATCCGGTCAGGGCGGTGCAAGCACCAACAACGCATCCTCACAAAAGCTTGACAACGGTGGTGGCGGTGGAGTAGACACCAACCAACAGCACGACAACGCCTCCAACAACCTCACCACCAACAACGCAACCGGCCGCCACAACCACCACGAAGCCCCCCCACCCTACTCAACTAGGTCCTCCGCTGCCGCCGCTGCTGCCGCACCTCACCATCACCACAATCATCACCATAATCACCATCACCACCACTCCAACCAGCGCCATAGCTCACGAGGCCCTCGTCGTAACCGGATGAGTATGGGGCAAAAAGTCACAGGTAAGTTGTATAAATATTTTAGATTATTGAGGTACTGTGAACTATTTTATCCTTTTTGGAGGTGGTGTGGTGGAACTTATTGGACATTTTATTGCTTTGAAATTTTGATGTCATATAAGCTTGTACAGTATTTCATATATTTGCCAGAGTATTATATTCTCCAATATTGATTTAAAATGGTTCATGGTATTTTTCATCAAATTGGTGTTTGGCTTATGAAGAACTGTTCTTGCTGAGCAGATTGGGTTTTTACTGTTCTTCCCTTGGATTATATAAATTTGAATAGATTATACGTATGCTTTTCAAGGGCATCTCCATAATGTAATGGGTATGCAGACGTAAAAAGGAATACCATTCATTACATTATTCCGTTGTGGAATCGTGAATCTGGATTAGGTTGGTGATATCTGAGCTATTTTGGTGGTCTTTATGGATACAAAACTATGCAGTGTAAGCAGAGTTAACTTTGGAATTTGGACCAAATTCTGTTCATTATTGGCATTTCTGACGAGTGATGAAAGTGATTAAAAGATGAGTGAGAATGAGAAGAAGGTTAAGTTTTATTGTTTCACAGAACAAGGTCACGATGAGCTAGAAATAAATGAGGGAATTTACTGTGGCCGAGAAAGCACTAATAACGCTCTGAAAGAATTGGATTTTGGCAAATTTTCTGTTTTATTACTTAGATGAAAGGAATTTGAAAGGGAGGGAAAAAAGAACAGGGGGAACATGCAAAAAAGGAAAAAAGATAGGTAGCCAAAACACATGACATCTGCCAAGGAATGTCCTGGGAGGGAGGAAGAAGGGGGAGGGGAGGGAAGGAGGGAGAATGAGAGGGAGGGATAGGTGGAGGAGGAGGGAGGAAGAAGGGGGAGGGGAGGGAAGGAGGGAGAATGAGAGGGAGGGATAGGTGGAGGAGGAGGGAGAGGGAGAATAAGGGGAGGGGGGGAGGGTTCAAGAGGGACTAATCACCAAATGATCCCTTTAAAGTAAACGAATTCCTCCCAGCTTCAGGAATGGTGTCAGCAAGATCCAAACGTTCAGGATCTCTCTAACGTTAATGATTGCACTTCGCTCGTTGTGCATATTTGGGACAAGGAAAATACTATTTCTGAACAACGGGTGACTGAGGATTTTTGTGGGCGTGGTGCAGTATAGGCTGCTGGCTGAGGGCGAGGGACTTGCCCAGGAAGGCGTGATGGCTTTCCGTTTTGCTTTTTCCTTGTTTTCTTGCATCATGCTTCCTTCCCCTTTTAATCTTTTGCGTTTGTGCGTATTATTTTTCTCAGACTATTAGTTTACTACTTTTTTCCCTCCTTTTTTTTCCAACCCTTCCACTTTCTTCCTGTCTAGCCACTCCTGCACCCTACTCTCTCGCTCTCCAAACCTTTCCCCTCCTCTCTACACACTCCTGCCCCCTCCCCTCTCCCCTACCTCCCTCTCTTTTTTTCCTTATGCTGCTGTGCTGTTGCTCGCTTGAGAACGTTAATCGTAATTAAAACGGCTTATAAATAGATTAAAGGTGGGTGGAGGGAGACGTGTATTTCAGAGAGCATCCCAAAACGTTTTCAAGAAGTTAGAGACGAATGGAAACTAATATGGAGCACATTCTGTAAGGACCTTACGAAGCCTCATTTCGTAGTTTCGATTTGCTGCCGGTTCGAACTTTTCAAAGCGTGCGGCAATTGAATTCATTGTTAGGTGTTTCGAATTACGGGGGTGATCGTAAGCGGTAATTGCGGTGGGTGTGGGCTATTTTCTCTCTCTCTCTCTCTCTCTCTCTCTCTCTCTCTCTCTCTCTCTCTCTCTCTCTCTCTCTCTCTCTCTCTCTCTCTCTCTCTCTCTCTCTCTCTCTCTCTCTCTCTCTCTCTCTCTCTCTTTAGGGGCACGATTTCACGCTATCTGTCCCTTCCCATTTCCTCCTTCCTTCAACTCTCCCTTTCCTTGTTTTAGCGGACGGAATAGGAGGAGTCGAAGCTTGATATTCTTTTTATTTGTTCAGTCACTATTTTCCTTACTGCTGCTCCTCTTGCTTTTGTCCTCTTCCTTCTGCTTGCTGTGTTCTCCCTCTTCCTCCTGCTTTCTTCCTTCTCCTACGTACTCTTGTTTTCTTCTTCCTATTCTCTTCTTACTTCACTCCATCGCCCCTTCCTTCCTCTTCTTCTTTCAAAAGCCACGTGAGATAATCGGAAGACAACTCGCAGCCTAATACAGAGCATAATCAAAATACAAGACCAGATGGTTGAATTACTTTGATGTTTATAAAAAGAAACATTGTGACGAAAGTATTCGAGTGCCTCTTTTCACACGGAAGAGGGATCAGAGCACGCCGTGTTCTCAACGTGCTTTGTGATCAGTTACGAAATCGGTCGTTGCGCAAGAAAACCTCGGACTTGCATAAGAAACGGAAAGTCCATATTATTTTTTTGAAAGAATGGGGGGTTGGGGGGATGAGGATGTATTAATCTGTGATGTATTTTTTTCCGAGTATAATATTCTC